TTTTGGGTTGGAGTCTCACTCTGTCGCCCAGACTGCCAGACTGGAGTGCAGTGGCCGCTCCCGGCCACCTCAACCTCGACCTGCTGGGCTTCGGTGATCCTTCCGCCTCAGCCTTCCAAGTAGCTGGAACTACAGGCACACGCTACCACGCCCGGCTAATTTTTTTGATTTATTGTAGAGATGAGGTCTCGCTGCCCAGGCGGGTCTCAAACCTGCGGGCTCAGGCAATCCACTCACCTCAGCCTCCCAAAGGCGCGGGATTACAGGCTGAGCCACCGAGCCCGGCTTAATGTACTCTTATTTGAAGATTTTATTGTGAAATCCCCCTAAGAACTACTAAATATGAACTTATTAATTATGCTAAAGAATTTATGCACTGACATTTTTCATATTTGAACACTAGTGTTCCTTATGCTTACAGGGGATTCTTTTTTTCTGTGCCATATCTTTGGAGATAAAAGATAATAATTTTATAGAACTTTTGTAGTAAAACCTTAGAGAAAATAGAAACTCATCCTTCATGTTGGCAGTTTTGAATAATATTCTTTGCATATCTCATTTAATTTTACAAAATTTTAGCTTTTTTATTTTATTTTATTTTATTTTATTTATTTATTTTTTTTGAGTTGGAGTCTCACTCTGTCGCCCAGACTGGACCTGCTGGGCTCTGACAATCCTTCCGCCTCATCCTTCCAAGTAGCTGGAACTACAGGCACGTGCTACCACGCCCAGCTGATTTTTGATTTATTGTAGAAATGAAGTCTCCCCAAGTTGCCCAGGAGGGTCTTGAACCCACGGGCTCAGGCAATCCACTCACTTCAGCCTCACAAGTCTCGCGATTACATGCTGAGCCACCGAGCCTGGATATTTTATTTTATTTATTTATTTTTTTTGGAGTTGGAGTCTTACTCTGTCACCCAGACTGGAGTGCACTGGCCGCTCCCGGCCACTGCAGCTGGGCTCCAGCAATCCTTCCACCTCAGCCTTCTAAGTAGCTGGAACTACAGGCGCGTGCTACCACACCCGGCTAATTTTTTGATTTATTGTAAAGATGAGGTTTCACCAAGTTGCCCAGGCTGGTCTCGAACCCCTGGGCTCACTTCGACCTTCCAAAGTGCTGGGATTACAGGCTTGAGCCACCATGCCCAGTCTCGTACAGTATTTTCTTTTTTTTTTTTGAATTGGAGTCTCACTCTGTCGCCCAGACTGGGGTGCAGTGGCCGCTCCCAGCCACCGCAGCCTTGACCTGCTGGGCTCCAGTGATCCTTCCGCCTCAGCCTTCCAAGTAGGTGGAACTAAAGATGCGCGCTACTGCGCCCGGCTAATTTTTTTGATTTATTGTAGAGATGAGATTTCACCAAGTTGCCCAGGCGGGTCACGAAACTCTTGGGGTTTTTTGAGTTGGGGGTCTCATTCTGGGTCCAGGGGTTTGAGACCAGTCTGGGCAGCTTGACGAGACCTTGTCTCTACAGTAAATCCAATAATTAATGGGTGTGGTGGCACATGCATGTATTTTCAGCTGCTTGGAAGGCTGAGACAAAGATCACCTGAGTCCAGCAGGTCAAGACTGCAGTGGCCATGAGCGTGGCCACGGCACTCCAGCCTGGATGACAGTGAGACTCCAACTCAAAAAAACAAAAAACAAAAAAAAAACAACTTGTTCAATGCCTGTAGTATCCTTTTATGGTACTGCTTTGTAGGGGGCATTGTTTTGCATAGTGGTAGGAACTGCTTGGGTAGAAATGAAGGTAAGGTAGCTTTTTAAAAAAACTTTTATACCATTTTCATCTTTTGATGGAGAAAAGTGAGGTAGCTTTTAGGAAAAGTTTTATTTTAATCATAACACCTTTTTAAGGTGATTTTCAGGTTTCAATAAGCTTGTGCTAATGTTTTTCACCCCACTTTTGGAAAGCCCTTTATTGTGCATCTGTTGCTTAAAATTTTTGAATTTCCGTGTCTTTGTGACTCATTTAAATGCAATATTTATCTCAACTGTGGTCTCAAAAGCAATATAGCTTTACAGAAGATGATTTACTGTTTTTCAAAAAAAAAACCCCCAAACATAATACATACTATTGTAGTTTCTAAAAAGCAAGAATCAAGCCGGGCTTGGTGGCTCAGCCTATAATCCCGCGCCTTTGGGAGGCTGAGGTGAGTGGTTTGCCTGAGCC